ATTTTATTCTAGAACTTTGATTTTTAAAAATCAAAATCAAAAATCAAAAACTACAAACATAGCCAATGAACTTTATTTTTCAAAAAAAAATAAATTGTAGAAGTTAAAATGTGCACTTTCCTTATAACTTAATTATCTTATAATATGAAAAATAAAAATTTATTTATAAACTAATTTTACAAAAAAAATAATGACATAAAATCTCAATTATTTTTTTAAATTTTTAATAGTTAAAATTTATTCACCTAAAAAATAATAAAAAATCTCATCTATCAAAATTATAAAATATTTTTATAAAAAATACAAATTCCTCATTTCTATTTTCTACTCAACCACAAATAAAAAATAAAATATAGTAAAATGGAAGAATATAAGCGAGCGAAGCCGTTTTAGAATTATTATGTTTTGAGTATTATTTTCAGTGGGAGTGGGAGAGAAAGCCTGCGAGTTTTGAGAACAGAGGATTCATTCCGCAGTCAACAATGGCGAAACACGAGGAGCTTCCGGTTCCGATTTACTCCTCCCTGGAGCCCGTCTACGGCGAAGCATCTCAGCTTGAGGAAGCTGAGCTCCGATTCAACAATTTGAAGGCCAAGTTCCAACAAGTCTTCGGCCACGCTCCTGATATCTTCGCTCGGTCTCCAGGTCTGTCTTCCTCTTTAGTTTCCTTGAAATACAGACGAAATCTGAATAGAATGAAACTTTGAATTCAATCTATGTGTTTATTACGTTAAAATTATCTGATTTCGAGTTTTCGGCGATTTTTGGACGTTTCTCGATGAATCAGAATCTATATGTATTTTTCGTGTTGAACTGTGTTTGATTTTGAATGACTGAAGTTGTTATTATGTTATGTGATACCGAAAGGCGGTGTTCTGGTTTCGACGATTTTTGGACTGTTGTGGGTCGTTGAATTCTTTGTTTGGATGCAGGAAGAGTGAACTTGATCGGAGAACATATTGATTATGAGGGGTATTCTGTGTTGCCGATGGCAATCCGGCAAGATACTATTGTGGCGATCCGTAAGCGCGGTGCAGAAGAGGAGAAGCTTCTCCGAATTGCTAATGTCAATGACAAGTACTCCATTTGCACTTATCCTGCTGATCCTAACCAGGTCTGAAACCTGTTCTTCACTCGCGATATAACTCTTTGTTATTGAGATGCTTATGTGGATCTGAGGCGTGTTGTTTTATCTAACTCGTGAGTGATGGGTTAGGACAATGAGAAATGGTGCAATGCTAATGGGTAGATTCTATTTCTATTATTCTTCACCAATCTTTCTCAATTCTATCACAAAGCAGAGAAAACAGGCAGAGATCTTTATGTTTGACTCCTTCATAGAATTGCTCAAATATTTTATCCTTTAGTTTTGACTCATAGTTCCTCTATCATGCAGCAGTATTAACTCAATGGCAAACTGGTTTTGTCAAAATATCTAATACTGTTTGGTGTTAATTGTGCAGGAAATTGACTTGAAAAATCACAAATGGGGTCACTATTTCATTTGTGGGTAAGATGTTAGATTACATCCTTCATGTGGTTTTTCTAGTTGCTTTTTGATGTGAAGACTGCATTACCTTGTGATTTTATAGTAATTGGACTTGTTTTTACAAATATGCAGCCTTTCCCTATACTTTGTGTTTTCCATAAAAAATTATCCTCAACATCAAGTATTTTATTGTTTGGAAGAACCTTTTGTTGAGAAAGTGTAAAAAACTGCAGCACATTTAGAATTCAACTTTTAATTTTATATTGAATCATGTGTGTTTTGATTTTTTCCTCTTTAGTGGATTTTCTATAATTCTACTTGACAAATAGATGAAGTAGAGTCAGTTTAGAGCTGATTGTGTCCTCGTTACCATTCACTCAATCTATTTCCTTTAGATATAAAGGCTATTATGAACATGCCAAGTTGAAAGGAGTGAATGTTGGCGAATCAGTTGGTCTTGATATTCTTATTGATGGAACAGTTCCTACAGGTAAGCTTCTGCAATGGTTTGATGTAAATGAAATTTTTACATGGTGAGGTTGAGTCTAAGCGCACATTCTTAATTTCAGGTTCTGGCCTATCAAGCTCTGCAGCATTTGTTTGCTCATCTACAATTGCCATTATGGCTGTTTTTGGTGTAAATTTCCCCAAGGTATTCCATTTTGTTGGTAGATAAATATATTGAAAGTTTTACTACACAGCAATCTTGTTTGAAAGGTTGAACATCTCTAAGATAATTTTTGTTGACTTTTAATATCATGTCATGCTAGCAATTTGCTTTTGATGTAATTGTAAATATCTTAAATTGAATTCTAACGTTTATTTGATAATCATTGAACAGAAAGAACTTGCCCAATTGACATGTGATTGTGAACGACACATTGGAACACAATCTGGTGGGATGGACCAGGTTCGTTTTTGGCTTCCTGCTTATGAATTTCACTAAGATTTTTTTTCTTTCTTTGTTAATGAAACTCTTGTTTATATCCTTCAATCTGATAGTTTTGACATTTCTTTAGTCATTATTCTTGAGTGGGCAAGATTCTTAGTTTGGTGAAGGGCCATGTTTCTTTTTAGTTTTTGATGATATGCTTATCTGCATGTTTCTGTATACCTGATCATGGTCTCTTCAAGATTGCTGTGTGGCACGACATTTGCTTATAAGTTCCAATTTTTTGAACTTAGGCCTGTTTAGTTTTTCCAGATTCTAACGTTTTTCAAAACTCTATGTGAAATTGAGTAGTGCAAACTGTTTATCAGTAACTATCCTATTTCTTTTTATAGGCAATATCTATCATGGCCAAATCTGGATTTGCAGAGCTCATTGATTTCAACCCTATTTGTGCAACTGATGTGCAACTTCCTGCTGGGGGCACCTTTGTGATAGCCCACTCTTTGGCAGAATCTCAAAAGGCAGTTACTGCTGCCACTAATTACAATAACAGAGTTGTTGAATGTCGATTGGCTGCTGTAAGTTCCTTTTTCTTGACCCTGGTAACAAAAAATAATTACACTAGTCTTTTCATTTAAAATAATACACAAAGAAAAGATGCATAATTGTGCGTTGCTACTAAACAATCCACCTTCTTCCTCAAAGGGCATGTTGCATGCATACTTGCTCTAAAACTCACATCTCAGGAGGGGTGGTAGAAGCTGCAACTTGTAAGGTCTCACGATATGTGCTTACCATGTAATTCCTATAAATTCCAGATTTTGCTATGTATAAAGCTGGGAGTGAAACCACAAGAAGCTATATCCAAAGTCAAAACTCTTTCTGATGTTGAGGGATTGTGTGTATCTTTTGCTGAAGGTCGTGGTTCTTCTGATCCTGTCCTGGCTGTCAAGGTATTTACTGTTTAATTTTCTGCCACCATTTATGTTATATTTTTTTATTTCTCTTCATTATATTTTTTATTCAGTTCATCTATTTGCCAAAATTTAACCATTTAATTTCCCTGTTTTTTATTTTTGTCAAACTGTACTTTTACTCTTTGATACAGGAGTATTTGAAGGAGGAGCCATATACAGCTGAAGAAATTGAGAAAATCACTGAGGAAAGTCTGCCATCTGTCTTGGGAAATAATCCAACTTCTTTGGATGTGCTAAAAGCTGCCAAGCACTTTAAGTTGCATCAGGTACATTTTGTTCTTCTATGGCCAGCTAGGGTTGATTTTAGATATCTCTTCTGAGGGTTATTCTCCACTGTCCCCCTGAGATCACAAATTTCCACATTTTAGAATTTTCCTAGATTCTACTCCTGATCTTGGGATTAGGTTTGCCTTAAAAAAGAAAAAAAAAATTAACATTTTTAGTGGGAAATATGTCTAGATGATATGATATGAAATATTCACTTCTGCAACTGATTCCAGAGAGCTGCTCATGTGTACTCTGAAGCAAGGCGGGTATATGCATTCAAGGATACTGTTGCAGCTAGCCTAAGGTAAGCCTTAGTGGTTGATGTGATTTTTTTCTTTTGTGTGTGTTTGAATTCTTTAGATGATAATTCTTTTAACATCTTTACCCCCCAGTTGAAGAGAAAACAAAGAAAATTGGAACTTTCTTCTTTCTTTTTTTTTTTTCTCCTTAAAGAACAAAACTTATTTCTTGGTATTGTAGTAGGTTTCTTAATTACGATGAGCATTTTGCACTTGAATTAGCAGGAAGAATTGATTACTTTTCTGCTTCTGAAGTTTTGAAACTCTCTTGATTTTGTTGGAATGGATAAAGTTATTGTCTAATTGTTAATCTCTCATATATTTCCTCTTTTTCAAATTATCTCATCTTAATTTATTAATTGTTCCAATGTTCAATAATCATCATGCAGTGAGGAGGAGAAGCTAAAGAAGCTTGGTGAACTTATGAATGATAGCCATCAAAGCTGTAGTGTTCTATATGAATGCAGGTAGGTATTTCCCTTCTTTTCAATTGGAAACCAATAACTAGTTGTAGGAAAATGGTTATAACAATAACCATAGTGCGCATTTCTCTCTGATAATTATGACATCAAAATGCTTGTGCCAGTGCATTGCTCCCTGCTTTCTCCGCCCACTTGAATTGATGTTTTTTCCTTTTACGTGTGGGTCATGGCTTTAGTGTCCTTCCTTTACATTATTTTTGCTTTGAATCCCTTTTGCTACTATCGTACACCATTTATTAATTAACCAGCCGTTTATGTGTCTCTAACCAGCTGCCCGGAGTTGGAAGAATTAGTAAAAGTATGCCGAAATAATGGTGCATTGGGAGCAAGGCTTACCGGAGCAGGGTGGGGCGGTTGTGCAGTCGCACTAGTTAAAGAGAGTATGGTGCCACAGTTCATCCTCAATTTAAAGGTATGGATATACATAAATAGACGGCAGTTGTAACTTCTCCTTTTATTCTATAACCAAGACACATAATATTATCATTTTGCATATGCATCAGGAACAATTCTATCAATCAAGGATGGACAAGGGCGTGATCAACAAGAATGACCTTGGCCTCTATGTGTTTGCTTCCAAGCCATCAAGCGGTGCCGCGATTTTGAAATTCTAGTCAGTTAACTAGTCCTTTAGATGTTATTTGTGTAGATGCCATATAATAATAGCTCTAGTTCAGTTGAATAAAACTATTGTCCTAACCGGGTTTGGCTGTCAACTCGGTATAAATAATTAAATCATTTTAACTCAAACACTATGAAAACAAATAAATTTCCCTTTTTCTTTCTTTCTTTTTTTTTTTTGTTTTAATTTTACAACAAATTTCGTGATACAAGAGACTTTCTGGTAGAATGCTGTTTTAACTTTCAACCCTCATTGTGATTGCAATGTGAAATTTGCTTTAGATTTCTTTATAATTTTATTAGTAATTGTAATGACCTTAATTATTACATATTGAGGATTGGAAGAGTGTCCCTAAATGCATGCACCCGGCCATCCCACGCACATGCAAATATGCATTTTAATATCTTTCCTTCAGTCTTCTCGGGTCCAAGATATTCCATAAGATTTTGTGTGACAGGATTTGAAATTATTGGACCAGAGGGTCCAGAACTTTAGATTAGCATAAATACCAAGTGCACAAAAGTGGCTCCAAAAGGGCTCCCCAACCAACCACAACACATTGAATGCATTAAACATCCTTTGTATCTAAAGAGTTGTGTTTCCTTCTCCATAATAATAAATATTTTTCTTTTTTATTTTAAGAGTAAAGATTTAAGAATAATTTTTTGTCTTTATTTATTTTATTTTAAAAAAATAAAGAAAAATAAAAAGGCTTTTTAAATAGAATAGATAATTATAATTATGAAATAATCATAAGATTAAAAAAGAAAAAAACATTTGTCTCACTGTAAAAATGAAAAAAAAAAAAAACTATTATTTTGAGATAAATATCAAATCAAAAAACATCTATTATCCTCAGATAGATATGGGAATAGTTGGTATGGTAAGGGTATTTACTCTTAAATCTTGTGGATTACATTTTGATGAGTTTTATTTATTTACATATAATTTTTATACATATTATTTACACCAAAAATGATTGATCTTCTCATTGAGATTTATCATATTTTTTAGATAAATAAATAAATAATTATCTTTAAAAAATATGATAAAAAGTCAGTATATTTCTATTGTTTATAGTAAAAAATGAATGGTTAAAATTTTGTATAAATTTTGTAGATAAATAAATTTTAACCCATTTTGATTATTTGTAGAAATCAATGAAAATGAAATTTTTTTATAAATTTTCTAATGTTAGCATAAATAATTTATTTTTAACTGAATCAACGAAGATTAGTATAGAGTTATATGATACTAGAACATCCTAATTGTTAAAAGTAAAAAGAAAAATAAATCGAAATTTTATTCTAATAATGATTATTTGTGTAATTTGGTAAGTTATACACTGGGCTCAACCGCTCAAGATCCTCTAATTGAAATTCACAAATTACAAAATATTAGTAAATTCATAAAAAGAAAAAAAATTATAATAACGTTGATTATGGGTACCACGATATAAGGCATCTCCCCTTCTTGTTTCCTATTTCTTTTTCCTAAATGGGTAATGATACGGCCCAACCTTTGGGATTCTTTGGTTTAGAGACGAATTTTATTAGAAAAATTTTTATTGAAAAAATAATTAATAAAATGTTATTTAAAAAGTTAATAAATTTTATAATAAAATTTTATTAGAATTTTATTAAATTATTATTATTTTGTTTCATAAGAAATTTATACAAAAAAAATTGAGAAAAAATTATTAAGTGAATTTTACTTACAAAAGTTAGAAAGAAACTTTTTGGTTAAATGTGCAAATCTTTTCTTAATATTTTTGGGCTGAAACAAATTGAAAAAAAATTGATACAAATTATAACCTTAGAAAAATCTCATTTTAAAAAAATCAACATAAATTTAATAGTTGCTAACTCTGTTAAACTATTATTCTTAAAATTTAATTGAAAGTTAATAGCTACAATTTAAGTTGATTTCTTTAAAATAAAAATTTGAGATAGGGATTTGCTTTTTTTTGTTTGTATTAATTCTTTTCAACTGAAAAATATTGAGATATACAATTTGCACCTCCTATCTATACTTTTTCTCTTAAAAAAATATTAAAAAAAAGTTTGTAAATTGAAAATTGTATTAATAAAAGTAAAGAGTAAAAATATTATTTTTATTTTTTATTATAATATTAATATATAAAAATAAGATAAACAGGCCTCGTGAGTCTAACTGATTCAATTTAGAATTACTTCAGACATAAATGTGATTATCAGATACGAAAATATTAATTAAAAAGATAAGAGTAAAAGAAAGTGAGAAAAAAATAGGTTAAAAGTGCAAAACAAATAATCATGGTGTTCAAAAAATGCAAAGACGGAGGAAACAAGAGGAGTTATCACGGCCCACCCGTGGGGACTGCCATTTGTCGGTGCAGTTTCCATTGACAGCGTCGCGTTTTGCATTTAAAGGATGCACCACGAAGCTGGTTAAATGAAAGATAAGCAGAGCAGAAATGCATAAAAAAAGAAATTAAATTTCCTTTGTTTAGACCATTGGGTTGTTAAATCCTAACTCTCTCTCTTCAATTTCCAGTTATGTAGCACTTTCCCGGTTCCCTCCTCCACCCCCTTTCTCTCTCTCTCCTTTGCACCAATACCCATTTCAAGGATTGCATTACATTCATTTCATAGAATCAAGGTGTGGAATTGCAGAGGCTATTGCCCTTTTCAATCTTGTTCTAACCCTTGCATCGGATCTGGGGTTTTCTTGCGTTTATTCCAAGGTATCCTGCTTTCCCATTTTATATTTGTTTTCTTTGATAAGTGGAGAATTGTTTATTCTGTTGAATATTTTTCGTTGGGTATTGATTAATGTGGGTTTTCGTTTGTTTCAATTTATGGGTTTGATGAGCATTATGTTTTTCTCGCATTTGTAGGCATCTAAGTTTCGTTCTTTGCTCTGTTTCCTAGGATTCTTTTATTCACTGTTTGATTCTCGTTTTCAAACTAGGATTGGTTTTTCTGGGTTTGAACCTTTTTGAATACTGTGATCAAATTTTTTATTTTTATGTCAATGAATGCAGGCTGGACTGCTTGTTTTGGGTATTTTTAGGAGATTGACATTGAAGGAAAAGAGGGGTTTTGTATAGAAGGAAAAAGACTAAGGCGGTTGCTTTCTAATTCACAGATGGATTACTAGTTGAAAAGGAAGCACAGGCGTGCTATAGAAGTTAAAATTGCATTTATTGGAGATATTTTGTGAGTTATAACCTGGAAAGTGCTATTTTTGCTTCATGAAGTTGAATTCATTTATTACGATCTTTTGCCTTAGTTTATAATTAATCAACACCCCTATGAAGAAGCAATTTTTGTGATGGGTTGACTTTTGAAGTTGAGTTATTGGTGGGTTTTTATTGAAGTTTTTTGCTTTGATCATTTAGAGTGTGGTGAAGAGAAGCAAATATTTAAATTGAGCTTTCGGGTGTGAGTGGAAATGGATCATATAGCTCCAAGGAACCTATGTTCTGAAGTTGTCGATCTTGAAAATGGGGAAAGAGTTAGTAGTGTAGAAGATTCAAGCAAAAGTCCCATTTCAGGTGTTAAAAAACAGGCAAGAAGTTTGCTTTCTAAGGTTTGTGGTCATTTTGTTGAAGGCTCAGAGGGTAAGATAAGTTTGTCTACCAATGTATTAATTTCTAGTGGGGATTTGGTGGACAATGTGAAGACGGTGATGAGTATGAGTATGGAAGGAAAAGAGGCGAATAAGGATGTTGATGAGAAGAGCATGGTGAAGGAGAAACATAAAAAGACTAGCAATAAAAAGGCTCCAAAACCTCCCCGGCCTCCAAGAGCTCCATCATTGGATGCAGCAGACCAGAAGTTAATCAGAGAGCTAACTGAACTTGCCAGACTGAAACGTACTAGAATTGAACGGATGAAAGCCTTGAAAAAGATGAAAGCTGCAAGGGCATCCTCTTCTAATAGCAACATATTAGCCTTGGTATTCACCATCATTTTCTGTCTTGTAATAATCTTTCAAGGTACTGTTTTCTCATTGGATGTTAGAGTTTCCCCTGCTTTGCATCTTGTGGTTTCTTACTATTATGGTGCTTTACTTGTTCCCAGTGTTAATGACCTGAATTTTTTTAGAGCCAAAACCATGACTTTCTAGTTGGAGCCTATGAAATGCTTTTCTTCATGGTTCAGATTATCCAACAAATTAAAAGCCTTTTTGCTTGAACCTTTTTCTTTATGCACTTGATCATGGACAATGTTTTCTTTGTATTACTTATGCACTTCCGGTGCGTTTTGCTTATGGAGCCTATCACCATAATGAAATTGCCATTTGTTTCCTTCTCCAAGAATATATTGGCTACCTAATAACACTTAATTCTAATTTGCTTTGCAGGCATGTCATCCAGAAGTACACATGTAAATATGCACGGATCTCCTGTGCCAACTGGAGCAGCAGATGGCAGATTGATTTCGGTGCAGTACTTTGGGAATCCAACAGCAAGTGATCCAAATGGACCCAATTCTGGGTCTCCCAGGTATGTTATTACATCTTTGCGTACTCTATTTGGGTCTTAAGTTTTAAGAACTAAGAAAAGTTGTAACCTGGCATTTTGTCCCAAAACTGAATCTGATTTGCATTCTTTTCTGCAGTTTGGTGGAGCAGGTTTCTGGTTCAGACCCTCAAGAACAACCAAGAAGATTTACTGGATAGAATGGAAAGAACAGAAAGGTGTTTTATGAGGATATACAACAAACATACAATGCGGTTCTCATACAAGCCACTGCAGTAGACGGTTCTTATGGCCTTACAAAGCTGGATCTTTTTCTGGGCATTTTAACTTATATGTGCTCTTTCTGAAAACTGGGGCGAGTTAAATTACCATGTAAATTCTTGTGCACTCAACAGGCCATGTCAAAATGTTACCTTGATAAAGTTGCCTCCTTGGCAACTTACATGTCCAAATTTTGCTATGGGATTTTAGATTCTGTAAATCCGTTCTATTATGATGTCCAAGTTGAAAGTTTCCTGAATTTATGTTCCATGATTTTACTTGTATCTCATTGTCATCGAGTTGAATTATATGCATAAGACATTGGTGACCTTCCCCCAATCCGTAATTGGTGTAAGGCATGATTGATGACTACCTACAATTGCTCCTGGAGACCCTTTTTTTTTTTGTGTGTGTGTGTGTTTTTTAGTGAGAAATAAAGATATGATGCAGGTGTAATTGGCCTAACAAACACAGCTTGTCAAAATCAAATCCTTTCATTTTCTCCTTCATGTGGTTTCACGTGTGCTGTTCCATTAAAATCCTGAGAGAAAATGGAAAAATTAATGCCCTCTTAATCCCAAGATTGAAAATGTGGTAAGGTGCACCTGCAACTCTAACTGTGGTAGTAAGGGTGCATCTAATCCATGGCCTTCTTCATGGTTCAAATCATGGGCCCGGAGATTATGGGTTGGAGTGCCTGGCATGAGCTGGGGTGAGCTAATAAGAAATATGACAGGGTTTCTCTTTATCATGCATAATTGAAGAGATCTTGGTATAAAATTTGGAAACATTGGAATATACGAAAAAAAGTTTCAAAATTCAAACTTAAAATTATTAAATTTAAAAAAGCACGACCTTTTATTTTATTAAAAAAATGTTACTAATAAATAAATAATAATAATAAATGAGATTAAAATTTAAAATTAAAATTTAAAACTAATGACATGATATCAATTATATCATTTAAATTATTAAAAAATAATTTTTATATTATTTAATAATTAATTCTTTTTTATTTGTTTAAAATCCATAATTTTGTATGCATTATTTAATTTAATAATATAGTATTTATTTCAAATTTCCACTTTCTTATCATTACTCATAAATAAATTATTAAAAAGGTGTTTATACAAGTCAATGCAATTTAAATACTAAAAGCACTAAAATATCTTAAGAAAAAACTTTTTTATATTTATTCATTATTATTAATTTAATAATTTTACTACCTAACAATGAAACTCATAAATTATCATTAATAAGCCCATATAAGAAAGGTCAATGCTAAGATTATGGCTTACACTGCATTTAAAATTTGAAGTCCATTTAAAATTATCATTGAATTTTTAAAAAGTTGAGTAGCTAGATTGTTGTTGAAGGTTCAAGATTTTTCTCTTTTTTTTTTTTTCAAATTATTTCTTAAATTGATTCTAGAAAATCAAAATTCCTAAAATTACAAACCCTAACCCTAGATACCAAATCCCCCTCGCCCCCGCACGTGCCAAGCAGCTTAGTAAGAAAGCTCAAGAGCGCCGTAACGACACTACGACCACAAAATTGCAAGTTTTCTCATCTCTACCGTCCGATCTATTGCCACGTCATCGATCCACCCCTTCACACCTTGTTTCGACGGCTGGGATCGCAGTTGCAGAGAACAAGTCTCTTGTTCTTTCACTTTCTCTCTCCTCTTCATCTTCCAATTTCCGATTTTAATTTCGATTTTTTTTTCAGCGAAAATCAGAGAGATTTTTGTTCGGAAAGTTTCTTCAGTTTTAGGAAGATGAGATTCATGGAGGAGGAGAACGAAATCGTGGTTTTGAACGAAGAAGAGGAGGATCAGGAGGAGGAAGAAGAAGAGAGTGAAGTAGAAGGAGGTGAAGAGAAGGAAGATGACGACGACGACGATGTTGATGATGAGGATGAAGATGCAGGGGAGGAAGAAGGTGAGGACGACGATGGACAGGTTATTCACTCATCTGGTGGCCCTCCCGTTCAGCCGGCCGATGATGATGAGGATGACGAGGGCGGTGAGGGGGAAGACGATGAGGACGACGACGGAGATGACGATGATGACGACGACGACGACGATGACGGTGAGGTAAACGATGATGAGGAGGAGGAAGATGAAGACGACGACGCTGAGGAAGAGGTAGCTCTTCTAAACTTCAGTTTAATTTTCAATATCTTTTGCCATTTAGTTTAACTTATAGTGAAGTTTTACGCTACTTTTCATTGAAAATTCGTTCAGATCTGGTGTTTCTGTTTTGTTTGTTGATAATCTGATCTAGAAATTTGGAGATTAAGCTTTCTTTGGTGGATTTTTGAAGAGTTTTAGTTTCATTCTTCAGATCTGTTACTGTGATGATTTCTGGGAATTTCAGTAAAATTTATGTTTAATTCAGTAGGTATTTAATTAAAATAAGTAGGTAAAAATATTATGTAAAAATATAAATATTTTTTTAGAATATACAGGTAGAAATATATCTATGTATTGGTGTCTTTGAAAACTTTCTCACTAATTATTGGATGATTGAAGTAATTAGTTTTATGATAAAGAAAACCTTGACATCTCCAACAGGGTTCAATAATTGCTCTATTGCTGTTGAGTTTAATTAAGTGGACTTTTTCATTGGTAATCACAACTCTTTAATTCTTTCTCTTAAACTTGATTAGGACTAGGTGATAGCTATTTGCAGGAAGAAGGAATTTAAGTCCATGTTTGTTGTTTATGATTTGTGAGGTTTATCATCTTAGTTTCTTGGATCTTTGGATCATTTTATTTCTCATTTATCTGCAAGTTGGAAAACTCTTTTTACACTCAACTTGATTGCTAGTTTATGTTGTTTTTTGAATCGAGTAGCGTTGATACCGTTAAAAATGAGATTTCTAATTAGCTGGGCATATTCATTTGGTGTTGTTCTTCTTATGCCTGTTCTCTATGTGGTTCTTCTGCTGGATTAGGTGGCTACAGAATTTTTTTGAACTGGTTAAAAATATTTATCATGTTTTTGTTTTATTTTCAGTTCCTATAGTTTCCTTGGTCCTTACTTTTAGTTCCATGAAAGACAAACGAGGATGGGTCTCAAGGGCTCTTTACAAATACCTTTTTAGGGAATTTTTAAAACTTATGTAATCTGAATTATATGGCAAAATATGACAAGTAAATGAGTTATTCAAACTTGTAATTTTTGTCATAATTATTGATTTGAATATGGCAAATTGAGTTGAGTCACCATACCTGTCTTTTGGAATTTTTATCTGGTACAGTTAACCGGTTGGACATACACCATTTTCCCCCATGATAACACAAAATTTAGGTTAGTCTTTTTTTTTTTTTCCAGACATGTTGTTCTTCATATGGTCTGTTTAGGAGTCAATGGTGTTGCTACCTGTCTATGGTGTTTGTATTCTTATGCTTAATTTGGTTGTCATTTTACTGGCCAAAAAAATTTTGTCATCTTTTTACTGTTTTTAATTTCTGTTCTGAGACCATCCTTTTTTGTGATTTGCCTTTTTTTTCTGTAGGAGGATTTGGGAACTGACTACCTTGTTCGACCAGTGGCTCGTGCTGAAGATGAGGAAGATGCCAGTGATTTTGAACTAGATGAGAAAGGTGAGGATGAAGATATTGATGAAGAGGACGAGGATGGAGATGAAGCTGCTGGAAAGGTTGAGGCTCCATCAAAGAGGAAGAGATCAGACGATTCAGATGACGATGATGATGGTGGAGAGGATGATGAGAGACCATCCAAGCGATAGGGATGAGCCCTGTCTTGGTTTCAGACCATTGATGCATAGGTCAATCTCTTTCTCTTCTCTCATACGCCATCTTTTGTGAGTAGAAAGAACATAATAGGATGAATGGTGCGTTCTATTTTTCAGATCTTGTACTATTATAATGCAGTAATTTTGGGGTTGCATGTTTTATTTGGTGATGCAGGATCATGTTGAGTTGAGGTCTGAAGGAATTTACTGGAAGTTTGGAACAGCTGGTTTAGAATTTGTACAAGTTATGATCGAGTCGTAGACATGATAGCTTGCCTTTTTTTTTGTTTCTAAATTTTCTAGGTAGGTGATGAATGGTTGGAGGATTGGCATATTAGTTTACAGTCATGCTGGGTCATCATGTTTACACAGTACTATTTTAGTTTTCCTTTTCTTTTCTTTTGTTAGTAGGGAGGGACCAAAGGCAGACCATCCCTGAAATGAAATTAGGATCTCCATTGTGGATTATTTTATCATGGCCTAAAAAATGGGTTAATTATTGTTATTTTGTTAACATTTCATAAAATCTAAAAGTTGCCCTTCTTTTTATGA